CCGATCCTCACGCGCGCTGACATGGAGGAGTTCGTCGCCGAGTTCCTGGGGAGCGAGGACGCCGCAAAGGCGATCGTCGAGCAGTATCCTCGCTGGAAGTATCCTACCGGCAAGGACGCCTTCGTGGCGATGTTCGGCGAGCTGCTGTTTAACTGCGACACCTACAACGTCGCGCGCGCCATGGGCGATGACGCCTACGTGTACCACCTGATGAACGGCCCGACGCCATTCAGCACGCTTTACGGTCCGCTGCACGCGGCGGATATCCCATACGTGTTCGGGAACTTCGACAAGATCGGCGTCATCCCGACGCTGCTCGATCTGGACCTGAGCGCGAAGATGCAAACCGCATGGGGCGCGTTCGCGCACACCGGGCGCCCCGCCTGGGAGGGCGGATGGCAGCCCGTAAACGCCGAGGACCCCGAGGTCCTCGAAATTGGCCTTGTCTCGGATATGAAAGGGGATTTTCGCGACGGACGCTGCGAGGTCTTCGAGGAGATGGGCGTACTCCCCGAGTTCGCTTTTGGCGCTTCGAAGGGCAGCAGTGCCAGCTGAGTAAAGAGGGTAGATTTTCCCAACCTGGGTGCGGCTTTTTGGCAACCAGGTTGGGGAAAAATCTGCCCCGCCATGCTTTTGCGCGCCGCGAAGCGTTGTCATGATAGAAAGGTGCTCCGCGCTGATCACTCGAGGAGAACGCATGGACGCAGAAAAGCAAGACAACGCGGACGATCGCGACGAGAAGTCTCGCAGCGAGCGCACCCTGACCTTCGTGATCAAGAAGCTGATGTTCTACATCCTGTTCATTCTTATCGGGACCTACCTCACCGCAGCGGTGGTGCTGTTTGTAATCCAGCGCTCGATCTTCTACCCCAGAGAGCATCTCCCGACGCAGACACCCGAGATCCACCGCCAGAATGCCGAGGTCACGAGGCATAAAGTGGACGGCGGCGAAGCGATCGCGATCTGGATGCCCTCGGAGAAGCTGGACGCTTCGGGCAAGGCGCCGCTGATGCTTTATTTTCATGGCAACGGCTCGGCGGCGCAGTACGTCTGGCCGATGCTCGAACCGTATCGCCAGATGGGGATGCATATCCTGGTGGTCGAGTACCCTGGGTATGCTGGCGTCGCTGGCGAGCCAACGCAGGAGACCCTGGTCCAAAACGCGGTGTTCTGGCGCGAGAAAGTCGCCGCGCGAGAGGACGTGGACACCTCGCGAATCGTGTACTTCGGGACCTCGCTCGGCGGTGGTGTGGCGTGCGCGTTGGCGGCGACGCATCCTCCAGAGGCGTTTATCCTGCGATCGACGTTTAGCAGTATGCGCGAGATGGCGAGCACGCGGCTGATGCCAGGGTTTCTGGTGCGCGATCCTTACGAATCACTCCAGGTGTTAAACACACTCCCAGAGGTCCCGGTGCTTCTGACACACGGCACGAAGGACCTGTTGATCCCGCTCTCTCATGCAAAACGCATCGCCGCATCGCGCGAAAACATCGAGTTTTACACCTACCCGTGTGGGCATAACGATTGCCCACGGGACTCGGCGGAGGTCCGCGCCCAACGCCGTGATTTCCTCATCAAGCATGGGATTCTCCCGACGATGTAGGGTCAGAACGGATCTTGCTCGACGGTCTCCTCGATACGGTCGACGAAGGACTTGTCGAGATCGACGCGCTCGTAGCTAAGATCCTTGTTCTTGAGGATGTAGACCGCGCCGGGCGCCTGCCGCTTCCCGCGGATTTCCGACACCGGGAGGAGCACCGCGCCGCCACCTTCGACTTCGTTATCGCCCTGAGCGAATGCGGTCGTCGAAGGAATCAAAGAGAGCGTGAGCGCAGCGAACAGCAATATCGAAATCTTCTTCATGTCCATACCTTCACCAGCTGTGGTTTGTTTCCCATGGGAAGGTTTGGACATCATTTTTTGGAGGAAGTTCCCGAAACTTCGACCACTTCTTCCTTTTCTTCGACTTCATCAGCAACTTCAGCGCGATCATCCTCCACGTCGAAGATGACGCCATCACGCTCGTCTCCCTCTTCGCCGAGATCGAGCACGGCGTCCTCGATCTCGTCATCATCGCGCGCAGCGTTGACATCGACGCCTCGCGCCTGCTGGATCGCGTCGACGAGCAGATGAGGTTCCTGGCTGGTGACGAGTACGGCGCGCTCTTTCCCTTTCTCATCGGTGTACTCGATCCTGGCGGCGCGCCCTGCGTCACCGACCATATTGTACGCCCAGCTTCCATCCTTGCCGCGGCGGATACCCCACCCGCCATACGTCTTCCAGTCGTAATCGACGGCTTCGGCGCGGGTAATTTGCTCGATGGGGATCTCGGGACCGAACAGCCCCAGCTGGATCTGCACCTTTTGGCTCGAGACGCTGACGCGAAGGACCGCGAACATCAACCAGACGATCGCGAGCGAGGCCGCCATGAGCAAGATCATGGGCCACTGCTCCGCTCCTTCTGGTGTGAGCAACAGCGGCAAGGTGCTCGCCAGCCCTGTCGCGCCCATGATCGCGTGCCAGCTCCAGTGCGAGACGAACTTGTCTCGATAGAGCACGCCTTCATCAGGCGTCATATGCGAGCGCTCGTAATCATCACTGCCGCGGACCGCGATAGCGGTCTCGTTCTTCTTGTTGTCATCGCTCAACATCGACCTCGCTCGGCATGGCTCATTTCGTTTCACAGAGACTGTATCAAGCGCGCGAACCTGTCCAGAGCGGTCGACTCGGGCTCGTGGAAGGTGAGCTCTTTTTCAATCTTTTTAGATCCATTCGAGCTCGACGGCGTTCAAACCCCTATCGACAGAAACGAGGACCTCCCACGGACCCATTTTTCCCACGAGAACGACCATGACGCCTTCGAAACTCACCGCGACGCTCCTCACACTCGCCAGCATCCTGCTCTTCTCCTCGACGAGCTTTGCCCAATACAACAAGTCCGCGGGGCGAAGCAGCGCCCCCGCCAGCGTCGAGCGCGAGTACAAGTTCGAGGATGATCAAGGCAACGTGAGGACGGAGGTCCGCAAGGAGAAGGTCAAGCGCGATAGTTACGGGAACGCCTCGAGCAGTGATTTCGACCTCGCTGTCGATGGCGCCTTCGAGGGGCAGACGGTCGTCGTGCTCCAGCTCCACCAGACGACGATCACCGAGCCCTGGAAGGCCCTTAAAACAAAAGGGTTTTCTGTTTACAGAATGCAAGGCGTCCCGACCGTCAAGCAGCTCGAAGAGGCGCTCGCCAGGAAGAACGCCAACCAGTTTTGGTTGATCGCAGGTTGCACCGGGCAGCAGTTGACCGACGAACACGCCATGGTGATCAAGAAGTTCTTCGACAAGGGCCGCGGGGTCTACATCTGGGGCGACAATGACCCCTGTTATGACGACGCGAACCTCGTCGCCAAGGCGCTTTTTGACACCGGAATGACAGGCAACGTCCCCGGCGACAAGACCATCAGCCTCAAGATGGGCAAGTCCAAGTCCGGCGTGCTCGCCGACCACCTGATCTCGACCGGCCTTGAGTACATCTATGAAGGGATCACCATCGCCACTATCGACAAGAACAGCCTGTTGACCCCATTTATCTGGGGATCGGCCGGGAACGTCGTCGCGTCGCTCTATGACAGGAAAGGCAAGCGCGCGATCCTCGATGGCGGCTTCACGCGCCTCTACTACAAATGGGATACAGCCGGGACAGGGCGCTATATCGTGAACGCGGCGGCATGGCTGGCGAACTACGAGCGCTTCGGCGATGAGGTCGTGGCGGATACCTTCAAGGAAGAGAAGTCCTCGGCCAAGAAGAAGAAATGAGCCCTGGCACATGCAAGAAGAAGAGATGGCGAGGATGTTCACATCCTCGCCATCTCTTCTTCTTGCATCTCTTCTTAACGCTCAGAGGTCGCGCTTGCGAGCGCGCAGGCGCATGCCGCCGCCAACACCTGCCCGAGTGAGCGCGATGGCGATGGCGATGCCCGTAAACGTCGCCACGCCGAAGTGCCCCATGTAGAGCGAGCTCATGATGTTGATAAAGCCCACCAACCCCGCGGCAGCCATCCCCTTGTGCATCGCATCCACGCGGCACCAGTAGCCGATCGCGACGCCCGAGCCCACATAGGTCGCCAGCCCGCCGACGAGCCCCACGATAAGAAGCGGGAAGATCACCATCAGGTTCTCCGTCGCCGAGTACGCGCCGATCCCGAGCGCCAGCAGGACGAGCAACAAGATCGTCTGCGAGGCGATGATCCCGAAGGCGGCGATCACGGGAGCGACGATCCAGCCGAGGTCGATGTCGTCGTTCTCCTCGGGCTCGTGGCTGTAGAAGCGACGGTTCGCGTTACGCCAGCTCATCTCCTCGCGGGTGTCGACGAGGATGCGCTCGAACATGTCCACGTATTCTTGAAGCTCGCCCGAGAGGAAGAAGCTATCGACGCTCTTGGTCCTGGGCTTGGTGCCCTCGATGCCAGCGCCGAGCGAGATCAACCCCGAGCCCATATGCTGCATGTGCACCCAACCGGAGCGCTCGAATCGCGTGAAGAGCTCGTTGACGGCGTGGGGGGCGAGGTACTTTTCGTGACGATCGCGGCCTCTGGAGCGCTCGATGTCCAACTGGACCAGGCCATGCTCGTTGACCTGAATCGAAATGAACTCACCGTTTTCAATTTTGCTGTAAGTCAAAAACTTCGACATCTCTTCTCTCCGCGACGCGATGAAGGGTGAAAGAGAGGGGCCGGCGGCGTCTTGTGGCGCGATACGTCGGTCATGCTCTCGTTGACAAGAACCAACATACACGCACCTACATGTAGGAAAAATAAAATAAAACCTAATTTTAAATTAGATTTTAACTAATCAAATGGCTCTGGGCGGAGATCCGCATCAGGAGAGAGTTAAATTCTATTAAATCAATGCTTATGATTTTTATTTTCTAATTTAACTAATCATTATCGCGCCTATATTCACTCCTCCGGTCAGAGATTCGACCTTACCGACACCCGAGGAGCTGTCTCCACATGCATCGCACGCCACAACCCCCATCCCCCGTCAAATGGTTCGGCATCTACGCCGCGGTCTTGACCATCCTCTTCCTCATCATCATGGCCATCGCCTTCGTCAAAGCCGCGCCTGGCTCTAACCCTGACAACCAATGGGCAATGCACTGGTTGATCGTGTTCGGGGTGTGCACGCCGATCGCGCTGCTGAACGGAGCGGCCCTCTTCTTGCCCCGCTCGAAGTTCACGTACGTGTATCACATGCTGATGATCGTGAGCGGGATCTCGAGCTGCATGTTCCCCTTCGCCCTCCCCCTGCTGGTGACCTACCTCAAGCCCGAGGTAAAGCGTTGGTTTGGCTTCGAGGTGAACTGAACGCCATTTGAATCATCGAACGGGATGGCGCATTCTCCATGGGTCAGCAAAGCAAAACCCAGATCATCGGAGCCACGCCCGTGAACGTGAAGAGAACCCTCCCTGTTTTTGCGAGCCTCGCGAGTTGTTGCGTTGGCTTGTGCTTGACCGCATGCCAGGCCGAAGAGCCCGAAGAGACCTCGGGAAACAACACGAGCGCATCGAACGGCTCGAACAACACCACGCTGGCCAACAACCAGACGACGCCAGCCTCAGCGCTCGAGGAATGCAGCGCCGAGGCTGGCGTCGTGCGCTTCACGACGAGCGATGGCGTCGAGCTGGTGGCTGATTTCACGCCCGCTGCACATCAAGGAAGGGGCGCCGTGCTCCTCTTTCATATGATCCCTCCGAGCAATGACCGCTCGAGCTATCCCCCTCGTGTTCGAGAAGCGCTGGCGGCGCTCGACCTGAACGTGCTCAACGTCGATCGGCGCGGCGCGGGAGATTCGGGCGGGAACGCGCAGGATGCCTACACCGGCGAGACCGCCAGCCTGGACGTGGAAGCCGCCGTCAGCTTTATGCTCTCGGATGAGGCGCCCTGTCGGATCGATGCCGAGGAGATCCTGCTCGTGGGCGCGAGCAACGGGACGACATCCGTCTTCGACTATGTATCGAGCCGCCAGAATAGCGCACTTCCTGGCCCCGAGGCCGTCATCTGGCTCTCACCGGGCTCCTACACCGAGGCGCAAAACAAGATCCGGCGCAGTGATATCGAGTCCTGCCCGGTGCTGATCGTGCACCCGGATAATGAACCGTGGGCGACCCAATACAACGGGGAAAACGAGGCGTGGCGCATCATCGAGATCGAGAACGGGCGTCACGGCACGGGGAACTTCGATAATGGCGATCGCGAGGCAGTCCAGCTCGGCGAGATGGTGGACTGGGCGACAAAACACGTCGCCAGGTAGCGATGGATATTACTCGGGGAGAGAGGACCCAGATGAAGGCGCGACCCGCGCGAAGGTCGTGCCTCGTTTGGTTCGAAGCTTCATCCAATCTGCGCGCGTGTAGCCATTGCCAGCGCTCGTGAGCGTCGAGACCTCGAAGGTCCTGCGGTACACCTCGCCGGTCTCGAGGGCGCGCTCGCGCACGCGCAGCGTGACGCGCTCGGTGCTGTTGCGCTCGCCGCTGTAGGTGTAGCGCACATCGATTGTTTCGAGCAGGCGGCGCTCGACGGGTCTACCGACCCTCTCGATATCCACGGTCCCTTCGTACTTGTTGCTCGCGCGTGAGCGCGTCACGTTCAGCGTGACGCGCTTCCCCTCGCCGCGCCACTCCCACCCACCGACAGGCCCCATCCCGAGGCTGTCCCAGTCACAATCGCTCGCGAGCTCCACGTGGGGACGATCACGAAATGAAGGCACATCCAGGGTCTTCAACCCGCGCCTCTCGACGGCGCGATCCTTGGCATCCCAGAAGGGGTGAGAGACCTCGGGGAAGATGTGAGGATGGAGCATAATATCAGCGGCTTTGCCGCACAGATGCTTGCTTCGAAGGGTCTTGGAGTAACCCGCGTCGAAGGCTTCGCGCTGCTCTTCTTTGGTGCGCCTTGCTCTCGAAATTCGCGCCCTCCAACCCTGCGATCGGAGCTCGGAGAGCGCCTCCTCGAGAGGACCTCTGAGTGAGGAGTGCAACGTGGCGAGGTGGGGTTTGTCGAGCTCTTCGAGCTCGCGCCTTGTCTCTTCACTCAGCGGGCTGGGCTCGATCGTATGCTTTGTCTGCGCGCCGACGGTCGCGGTCAGCGAGCAAACAAGGAGCAGCCAGGCGGCCATCGAGACCGCTTGCTTTCTTTTGTCAGTGAACGAGAGCGGCATTGTGGCTCGGGGCATCTTCGGTGCGGGGAACGATCATCAGGATAGGCTTCAGAGTTGGAACAAGCCACGATCCTGTATGCATTTCGATCATCGATAGACTTGGCCTCGTGGCGATCCGCGACGAGCTTTCAAGGGATCTTCGCACGAGACAGGATCGGAGCCACCTTCGAGAGGGCATAAACGATGAGCGCGACGCGAGAAAACCACTGGGGCGAGCTTCGAGCGATGCTGGCGAGACCACCGGTCGATTTTATCCACGCCTACAGGATGATCCTGGCGATGCGCGATGGCGAACGCGCGGCGGCGGCGCACTACGTGCGCTCCCATCAACCCGCCTGGAGCGAGCATTGGTTCGATCGCCTGATACAGATCCCCGGTTTGAATGACACGCTCGAGGTCTGGAACTGGAGGCTGGTCGTGGCGACCGCCTGGCAAATGAGCCAGGAGCTCGAGGAATCACCGCCCGATGTGTTCCTGGCCGACCTCGAGCTCAAGCGCCACTGGATCATGCTCGAGGTCGATGAGGCGGCGCTCGCGGCGAGGCATCGAGAGCTCGAGGGAGACACCGGGGCGCGTCAGTATCACGCATCCACTGGAGGAGCGACGTACAGAGCGCTGGCGATCAATTACCTGCGGAGCGATCCGATGCTTTGCACGCGTGATCTGCATCGCCAGATCGCACAGCTCGGGAGGCTCGATCAGTGGCTTATCGACATCGGCGCCAGAGGCATGGACGCCATCGAGCGCGCGGGGCAGCGCTTCGAGCGGGCGACGCGGCGCGTCTCTCGCGAGCGCAATCCCTTGCGCGGCGGCGCGCATCTGCTCTCGTGGGTTGCCAACGAGGCGAGTCGCGCGACGGAGTCCTTCTTGAACCTGGGGCCATCGATGGCGAGCAGTTTTAACGAGGGAGCGCGAGCGCGAGAAGAACGCGCCGAGGAGCTCGAGCAGTTGTTGATGCGGCACCTCTTCGATACGCTGGAGCGAGAAGACCACCTTCAACTCTGAAGATCGCCGCGATGACGACAGACCTCGAACAACAGAGCCTCGCGCGCGTCGCCATCCTCGGCGCGCGCCGAAGGCGCAGATGGAAGCAGGCGCTGTTCTGGGCGCTGATGGCGCTCGGGTGCTTCGCGCTTCAAGCGGGCATCACGGCGGTCCTCGTAGATCCGCACTGGGCGATCATCATCGCGCTCTTTTTCGGCATCATCTCTTCGGTCATCGCCTCGGCTCACATCACCCTCGGGCTCTTGTTGTCGCATGGCGCTCACAAGCGCCAGCTCGCGTCGGCCAAAAAACAAGCCGCCGGTCTCGAGGGGAAGACGCTCGATCCGAAGCTTCTCAAGGAGCTCGTCGCGCGTGACCTCGCGGATATCGAGACGCGCCGATCGAGGACCAGCGCGAACATCGCGCGTTACGCGCGCGACTTCGGGAAGCAGGCGCTCCTCGCGCTCTTCTTCATCGGTCTTCTTGTCGGTGTGCCCGCGGCGGCGTGGCAGGCGGCGATGTATGGGGACGCCTACGCAGGTTGGGCATCGCTTATCTTTGTAGGAGGCTTCCTCTTCCTCTGGCCCGTCTGCGCCTACCTCTACTCGGCGCTCAAGAGCGCCAATGATGTCCGCGAAGAAGCTGGCGAGGCGCGTCAGCTCGAGCAAGATCGCTCGATCGTGATGGGGACGCGCCAGAAGATGGGCGGAGATCACCTGAGCGGCGCGATCTCGATGGCCACCGATGGCGAGGATGAGCTCAAGGGAGCGCTCAGTTCGAGCGCGTCTGCTGGCGGGCTGACCGAGGTCGATTGAAGAGCGATCAGTTCTCCTCGTTCAACCTCATATGCGAGAGCAAGCGCTCGCGCATGGTGGGGTTGTCGAAGGTCTCGCGTAACAGGTCGCGCGAGCTCTCTCGTGGGTCCTCATCGAGCACGCGCGGCAACAACTCTCTGGAGATATCCTCGCGCTCCGCCAACCCATGGACCTCCTTGGTCGTCTCCCTGGCCCAATCGTCGGTCGTGCTGACCTTGTCTGACATGGCTTGTCCCGGGCTCATGCGCGCCAGGAGCCGTTGCTCGACAAGATTGCGCAGCGTGCTGACGAACTTTTGCGATGTGGGGCGCTTGTCGGGTGTGTCGAGCGAGCGCGCCAGCAAGAGGATCAGCGTCCCGGGAACGCGCTCTCCATCAGGGTAATGGAGCGGCACGTCCTGACCGATCTTCCAATCTGGCTCGAGCATGCAACAGATCAGCGAGGCGAACGCGTGGATATCGACCGCGCGAACATCTCCGCCCTCGACTCCGCCCGGGTTGGGCTCTCGTCGATGGCGCGTCTTGCCAAAATCGATCAACCTCGGCTGCTCTCCGACGAGCACATTCTCTGGCTTGAGGTTGAGATAGGCGAACCCGAACTCGTGGATGCCCGAGAGCTGTCGCGCGAGCCCGCGAGTGATATGATAGAATTCTGTCTGCGTGAACCCGCGCCTTTGTTTCAGGTGATCCGAGAGCGGCTCACCCTCGACCCACTCGAGCACCAGCGCGAAGCGCTTGCTCACGCGCTCGACGCCAAGCACCTCGGGGCCAGCGACGCCCGCGAGCTGCTCGAGCGAGATGCGCTCGCGCTCGAGCAACGGGTATGTGTCAGCGCGCCGCAGCGGGAGCTTGATGGCGACGCGCGTCCCCATCGCCATATCCCACCCCTCCATAAGAGCGTGGTGGCGCCCCAACGTCACACAACGTTGGATCATGAAGTGATCGTTGATCTGCACACCAGACCACTTCGCATCGATCTTTTGCATCGTGTCGTGAAGTCTTTTCCTGGCCTGATCCACAATCCCCTCGCGAGCCTGACATCTGGATGAGTTTTCTCATCAAAAACAATACCATCTTCGCTCGAAATTCGCCTGCCCTTTCTTGAGTTTTTAGATAAAGAATTTCATTTTCCAAGAAATCATTCATATGCCCTACACAATTGAAATCGCTAATGAATTGATCCTCAGCAAAGATGGAAATGGCGATCGTGCCCAGCTCATCACGCTCGCCGTCCCTTCCATCTCCACCGGAGAGGCGAGACCTCTGCGTGGCTGGTACTTCGATCGCGATCAGGCGATGCGCGGAAAGAAGTTAAAACCGAGCCAGAGCCAGACGCTCGAAGATGGGAGCAAACGCCACACGTACACGCTCGAGGATGGAAAGTACTACCTGGCTGATGGGTGCGTCGATGGCGAGCGTCGCTTCGCCTACTTGCTCGTCTCGACAGGCGGCGTCATCGAGGAGCTCGAGCGCGAACGCGTCGCCGAGGCGATGTACCTGCTGCAAGGCATCGAGGAGTTTCGCGAGGCGCTCGCTGACCATGACTGGTCGCGCGCCTGGGAGCGCATGCATTACGCCACGAACGAGGACGCCCTGCTCGCCAAGGAAGAGCTCGTGCAGGCTTTAAAGGACGCGCTCGCGGCCATCGACGAGCCAGACCTCGACGGTCGCCCCACACAGGTCGATTGGGCCAACAGGTTGCGCGCCAGAGCGATCGGGAGGTTGCGCGGCCTCTACCGCAACTTCACCGTCAACCCCGCCCTGCCCCAGGCCCACCCGAGGCTGCACTACGCGCTCCTGACGTGCGCCTACAACCTGAAGACCGAGGCGCGCGCCAAGCTGTTCGTGGCCATGGATTACCACATCGATCGCGGTGACATCGCCGAGATCGTCGACCGCTTCGCCGCCAACGGGAGCAAACGCTACAAGCCCCGAGGCCGCGCCGAGTGCTTGACTCGACAAGACCTCGACCTCCTGAGACGATTGACCTCCTGAGTTCGCACCCGTTCGCCTGCCGAAACCACGCCCACGAGAGCCACACGTGAACAGCGTCAGCATCCTCCCAGGAGTCCTCGCGATCGCGTTTCTGATCATCCTGGCGTTCGTCCTGGCGCTAAAAGTCAGACGAAACCGCAGGTTCGAGCTCGTCGACTCCTCGGAGGATGACGCCATCAGGTTGCTCACAGATGATCGCGACATCTTCGAGATTTACGACAAACCAGGCATCTTCGCGCACCTCTGGAGACCGCTCGCGAGCAAGCTCTTGCCCGGCGAGCCCTTCTTGCTGACCAGCCGC